GCGATTATTATTCTCGTTAAAGGCCCATTTTCATCCGAGATCCTTTGCAGTCGTTTGTTTTTGTTTTGGAATCGCGCTATTGTTAAATGGCGAACTCTGATAGTCATTCACAAACACTATTAAAAAGAAAAACAAAGATTTGGTGAAGAACACAGTAAACAAATTTGCAGCTAAATATTTGAGACTGAAAAATCATAAATCGAGTCTGTGTATAAAACTTGTACAAAGCTTACTTGATGTTGAAGGAAATTGTTCGGCTTCAACACTAAATAAAATATAAACAAATAACCAATATTGGCCAAAACTGATTTACTTTACGCATTTCAATTATAGAATAATGACTTGTACAAATGAGATCGCTTACATACATATCTCAGGATCTCAAGTAAAAATCAGTCAAATAATTATTCTCACCTCGAAAAAATCTCCCCGGAGTCTCTAGTTCCATCGTAGGAACAATGCAATAACATTTCTGCAAAAGCACTGTCTGTAGTGTTACCGAAACCCATTGTTGTTTTCCTTGCCCTCCATAAATCATACACAGACTCTCGAAGTCGAATAACCTTTGCCGAGCCGGGCAGACCCGGCCTTCCTCTAGACCGCTTCTTCGGCGGCATCAACTTTTCAAATGACGTTTTTCACCGTCATACATGTAAGAATTACAAACTATTTACTGATATGGATACTACGATAGTATGTTGTTCGCACATGATTCGAGATGGAACTTTGAAAGCCCTAATTAGTAAGATGGAAGAAGATATCAGAGCGATTCCGCAACTTCGAGGAAAATAGCGTATATTTCATGTATGAAAAATGATCTGGGCGCGCAAGGAATCTAGGTTGAAAATGGGCCTTTAAACTTCCCTAACATGTCATTTGTAACATGTTCGCAAATATTATGCCCATCATATAATATTGGATGAGCAAGTCGATTCCGGAAATGACATCCGCTACATCCCTTTTCCTTGCTTCAGGTTCAAGGTAACTACTTTAATTTATTCTGCGATAAGACTTTCGTCGTTGTCGTCGTCGTCGTCGTTGTGTGCATCCTGTTCTGGATCTTTCGGGACTGTGGATTTTCTTCGTTTCTAAACAGAAAGCCTCGAGAAGAAGCTTCTAACCTGGCTCTTCGTTAGCCATTCATTTCTGGTGAATTTCCTTTTACCATCTCCCTCTCTCGCCTTTCTCATTTTTGCTGCAACTTGCGCGGGATCGGCTTTTCTGCTTGTTCTTTCACCAGTTTGAAACGTACTTGAAAGATACCTTTTGACTTTCTCGGTGAATCTTGTTCCGCTACCTTTCGGTTTCTGAAGGGCCCAGCCCATCTTACACACTTTAATCAGTTCAACTTCGCCCGTCACTTCGGGTGTTGCTATCTTTGATTCAAGAGTTAGGGAGGAAAATGTCATTGCCCAGTCACATCTAAGGCCATCGTAAAGGCTCGCTAATGTCTCTTGCTGTGCTCCCCGCGGTGCACATGATCTTGGAAATCTACTGAAGAAGTGAACTCAGTGCAGCATCCTTTTTCTGGGCAGTGAAATAGCATAACCTCATTATCATCGCTGGAACCCTGGCTATGATTGCGATTCTGATTTATGGCCCGTGGACCTGTTGCGAAGAAACCATGATTCTCAACTTCCCTTAACACAACGGGGTCTTGCTCTTCAAGTATGAGCTCTGACCATGGTATTAATTTACCCTTACCGACCTCATAGGCTTCTGAGAACCGAAGACCACCCTTTTCATTTGCAAAATTGTGGAAAAAGCTGAAATTATTGATGCGCTTAATTCTGAGTTCCTCTCTTTCACTGACAAGTTCACAAACAGCAACTGACGATCCCTTCACTTGTCTCACTTTTAATGCTTCATGCATGTCAGCTGCCGTCAAAATTTTATGGCCTTCATTGCAATATCTACAAATTTCCCATTTCATTGGACTAATGATGCGATCACAAACATCCTTGCCAGATTGTGGTTCAGAAAAATCATACCTTGAGAAGAAGAAAAGGAAGTATCTTGGTTAGAATAACTGATCTATCAGTACCTACCATACTAATGCAGATGTTACTAGGTAGGCTTAGTGTATGCTCCTGCCTCTACTACCACATTCTGCTCATCATGAAAATATTTTATGAGAATTATACTTTAAAGGATTCTAAAGAAGAGGCAACAAAAGAAAAACTCCGCGGTAAATAAATACCTACTCAGTTGAATTCTCTCGGGATGTCCTTTGAGAAAGTAAGCATTCATTCGCTACACGTATTGTGCGATTAAAATGCGTTTTAATCTGCCTTTGAGCAGGGGGGTCGGCGGAATGCTACGTTTTAAGGGTGGAGAGGATAATTACATTTCTTTGGTGTATTATCAAAAGATTTTGATCAACATTGTTTGTATCGTATGATGCACGATCTTCGCAGTAGAGAGCGCTATTTATGCAATAGCGAAAATCAGACCTGAAAAAAATCAGGCCTGTACGGGATTCGAACCACTGACCTCTGCGATACTAGTGCAGCGCTCTACCAATTGAGCTAACAAGCCAATAATAGCTGATTTTCGCTATTGCATAAATAGCGCTCTCTACTGCGAAGATCGTGCATCATACGTATCTATAACCGCAGTTAAAAATATATGAACTTCATATATTCGTCGTAATTGTTTGTATCGGCTCTGAAATATAAGTCACTATAATGAACAGAAACAGCAAGAAAGTTTTAACTTAAAAGTTCTGAAGTCGATCAAGCTAAGAAATTTCATGTTTTTGAAAGAATGTTTTTGGGTTGTAATCAAAAAGCATTCTCATCTTACCTCATCACCTTTTTTTCAGCGCGTGAACCAACGTTAGAGGCAGCTGAGCTGCAATCAAATTGTTGTCGTGGTAACAGCCTGCGCCATCTGATCGCAAAAATACCTCGTTAACGATGGACTTGATCTGTTTGATGTTACCGAGAAGGTTTTCCAGAATTGCGCAAACCGCGTACCAGTCTTGGCACAGCTTTCAAAAAGATAAACATTTAACATGATCTCAAGGTCGTTGTCCTCTGCATTTCTTGTAATAACTGAAATGACATGCCAGTTTATTCCCCTATTTCCGAACCACTCAGACTGCTTTTCCCTGTATTTCAGTTGGATGAATTTCATAGCCCAGTACATGAAAATGAGGAAGGCATTTTTTCGGAGGGACGCGAGCAAATTCTGTTTGGCTCTCTCTTGATTCTTTGTCCCGATTATATGCGCCTTCCACTGAAGAATCGCCTCTCTGGCTTCACCATGGTCGTGTTTTAGGTCTTCTTTCTTCTCTACGCCGTCAAACGTTATCATACGTTATCAAACGTTATCACACTCTGTGGTGTGGCAGTTTGTTGACGTTGAACCAGCTCCAACATTTTTGGCATGAGCCCTTGCCTTCTTAATATGTCGATCGATCAGTTTTTCAAATGGCTTGTGCATTTTCTTTAAGAATTTCGCTGAATCGCTCGTTGCATATATGCTCAAGATCTGTGTTTTCACGTTCCTCGAAGGTGCTTGTTTGTATGCGGTTATCAGCGACTTCAAGTCACCTGAGCAAACTTCATTTGTTACCGGAACTTTAAATGCTTGCAATAACTCCTCTCTGTCTTTTGGAGCGATTACATTGCAAATAGCGCGATATGCCTCTTCCACGTGATCCCATTCCATCCACGTGACTTTTTTTTATCTCAGTGTATCCCTCAGAATTGCGTTTAAAGATCAGAATTAACTCTTACTTTTACCATCAAAACTAGATTAGCTAAGGTTAAATAAAGATTTTCCATAAAACACTTAAATATCACCTCCCACCCCCTTCCCTAACCCCGGTTAGCGCCCTCCTCAATCCTTGAGGCCAACGCTATAGCCGCGTTAGGATAATTACGATTATAAGTGCAATCTGTTGATTTTTTATAAGACATTGACTAGTGTGCCGAAAATATCCACATTTGTAGCGAGGAAAACGCTACTTGTTCAAATAG